GGCGCGCGGCAGGCAGGACAGCAGCGGAAGCAGGTGGGCCCACAGGCGAGGAGCGTTCTCGCTCTGATAGCATGTCGAGAAACGCTAGCAGAAAGTTAGAAACAGAAAGAGGATGTTGCACTAGCAGCAGATAGGATACATATAGCAAACCCTAATTTGGGCTTCCTCACTATAGAGTACCCCATTGCGCACTAGACAATTATAGCATTCTGATAGTAGATGCAATATACCATGCAATTTGGAACGATGCACAAAGCTAGGTGCACAGACGCTTACAGGGCTAGCAGCAGCAGCAAGCACAGCGAGGGCGAGTGAGAAAAGTAGCAGGCAATAAAGGATGAGAGGCGCTTCAGGAAAGCAGTGTAACAAGGGACGGATAGGCATGCCTTGTATTAGTGATGTGAGGCGTAATTTGTAATAGAATCCCATTAACTCAAATACAAAATATTTGGGTGTCCTAATGTTAACTATAAAACCTTGCAGACAAACATAAGAGAAAACAATCATATTTCTTCTTAAATTTTACGGAATATGTGATGAGCACGAAATCGGGGAGTAAGAGATTATAAAGTAGTGCAGAATGATAAACAATTTATACAAGAAGGGGTGAGGTGACCAAGAAAACTAGGTTCTTTCATGACAAGTAGCAAGAGGATCAAAGCAAAAGCTGGGAGCAATACAAAGCAAGCGAAGGGTGAAGGAGAGAAGAGAAACAAAAGAGGCGGATGCAAGGTATCTTGCAAGGAGTAACGATTCACAAAGCTGGGTTCGCAAACGGTTACGAGGCTAAGGGCAGCAACAAGCGGGGTGAGGGTGATTGAGAGCAGCAGCAAGCCGCGGAAGATAACATGTGTCTGTGCGAAGCGGTGCAGAAGGGGACAGATGGCGTGGCCTTGTACTAGTGATGTGAGGAGGCCCTCTGGGGGTAAGAGAATAAGAAATGCAAATTGCCCAAGAATTTTATTTGAATGCATGGGATGGTCAAGAAGCTATGTTCTTCATCGAGAATGAGTAAGAGGACAAGAGCATCTTTATTTGGTCCGAACAAGCAAATGTGTTGCAAAAGAAGAGACACTGGAACAAAGAAAGACAATGGGCAAGGGGAACAAACAAGGGGGAGGAGAGTAGGTATCGAACGTAGGTATATTCCAATGTTGGGAGCAGCATAAGGAAAGCAAGGCCAAGGGAGAGAAGAGACAGAAAAGAGGCGGATGCTGGGTATTTTACTAGTAGAAATGATCCACAACGCTTCATACGATGTCGCTTACACGAATAGGAGCAGAAGCAAGCAGGGCGAGAGCGAGTGAGAGAAGCAGCAGGTAATAACTAAGATTCGCTTCTGGGAAGCGGTGTAGCAAGGGACGGATAGCCAAGCCTTGTATCAGTAATGTGAGGTGTGAGTTGTATTAGAATACCATTAACTCAAATGCACGATTTCTGGGTCTCATAACATTAACTATACAACCATGTAACCTCACACAAGAGGATAAAAACATATGTCTTATTAAATTAAACAGAAAAAATATTAAGAGCTATGCTAATTTCAAAGACAGGTGATAATCTTTGTTGATGTTAAGGATCAAATGTATTTGGTTAAATTGATAACAAACATCCGAATATACACAATAGAATTATTTGATATGATAATCATGAATGCAATGTCTCACTTTGAGGTAATGGTCTGGATGTGAACGATGTCGTCACAGAAAAATACCTACAAAACCACGACAATATGATAGCAACAAAAGTAGTAGGAGGTTATAGATTCAGTGTGAAAGAGTACAATGAAAGCACGTAAATGACTAACACAGACCATTGGAAGGAGAGGAGGGACAACGACACAAACAATAAAAGTTGACCAGATAAGAACTCAAAACAACAATCATCTTCATTGTTGTAAAGTAATAACTATACCATTTGTATCCTTTGCACCTTCCATACATTTGTGCCTACCCTCACACGCACGCACTCTCGCACTCACCCACGCACTTGCGCCTGCATACACACTTGATTAATGTGCAAGCGCTGATTTAGTAACTACATCAGTAGTGCATGCGTGCATGCACTTACAAGTCATTGCGTTTCTTCGAGTGCTGAGATAACGGTCGGGAAGGGACTCTTGCTGAATGACCTGCCAAGCATTGAGTGTCAAGGAGGGGCGAACGGCAGGGAAAGGAGGAAAAAAGTGGAATGGTGGGTGGAATTGCAAAGTAGAAAAGAAGATGGAGTGAAAGGGGGACCAGCCTTGGTGAATGACCTGCCATAAGGTGGGTGTCGAGAGAGGGCGAACGGCAGGTAAGAGAAAAAGAAGGGAAAGAGTGAGTGGAAGGAAAGGGTTTAAGGAAAGGGTTTAAGGCAGGAGAAGAGGAAAGAGAGAAGAGGAATGGAACTGATAAGTGAAGATGAACACGGCAGGACACACTAAAAGTAGACTGCACTGTAGCTGTTGGCAGCGTGTTGGTCAGAGGGCTGGAGGGAGTGAGAAACAGACAAAATGGAGCTGAACAAGGAAGGACGCGCTATAAGAAGCCTGCACTGTAGTTGCGGGCAGCGTGGTGGACGGAGGGCTGGAGGGTGGGAGAAGAGGAAAGAGAGAAGAAGGGAACAGAAAAAATGGAGTTGAACAAGGCAGGACGCGCTGAAGCCTGCACTGTAGCTGCAAGCAGCGTATTGAACGAAGGGCTGGAGGGAGGGAGAAGAGGAAGGAGAAAAGAGGAAGGGAACAGAAAAAGGGATTTGAACACCGCAAGACGCGCTGAAAGAAGCCTGCACTGTTGCTGCTTGCAGCGTGTTAGACGGAGTGCTGGAGGGAGTGAGAAGAGGAAAGAGAGAAGGGAAGGGAACGGAAAAATGGGGCTGAACACGGCAGGATGCGCTAAAACAAGCCTGCACTGTAGCTGCAGGCAGTGTGTTAGACGGAAGGCTGGAGGGAGGGAGAAGAGGAAGAAGAGAAGAGGAAGGGAATCGAAGATTGGAGCTGAACAAGGCAGGACGCACTGAACAAAGCTTGCAATGTAGCTGCAGGCAGTGTGTTGGACGGAGGGCTGGAGGGAGGGAGAAGAGGAAAGAGAGAACGGAAGGGAACAGAAAATGGGAGCTGAACAAAGAAGGACGCGCTGAAAGAAGCCTGCACTGTAGCTGCACGCAGCGTGGTGTACGAAAGGCTGGAGGGAGGGAGAAGAGGAAGAGAACAGGGAGGAGATGAAGGGTAACGAAAAGGGGAGAACCAGGCAAATCAAAATCTTGTTTAGAAAGCGCCAAGGCACCAACGCCCAATGCGCTAGCGCTTAAGACACCAAGGAGCCAGCAAAAAATGCGCTAGTGCTCAAGGTGCCAAGGCTCCAGCAATAAATGCGACAGCCCTCACAGCGCCAAGGGTCCATTGCCCAATGGCGCCAAAGCTCGAGGCGCCAAGGCGCCAGCCAACATTGCGCCAGCGCCCAACCGCTAGAGGTCAAGGAGCCACCAGCAAACATTGCGCCAGCACCCAGGCGCCAGAGCTCAAGGCGCCAAAGGCACCAGCAAATATGGTGCTAGCGCCCAACAGCGCCAGAGCTCAAGGTGCCAAAGGCGCCAACAAACATTGGCCAGGGCCAACATAACAAGTGGAAATGAGGCAAAGTCTTAAAGAAGGAGCAGGGGGAGTGTTAGATGGGAGACAGAGAGGGAAATGGATAGAGTAGAGGATGACCGTGTGGGGTCAAGAGTGGTGAAGTGCGGGCATAGGAGGCGAGTCAGCTAACCTGGCACCAGATATGCGTGTAAGATGGCCAGATTTCGTCAAAACAATTGCTGATTTTTCCAGGACTCTGTTCCTCAGGCCAAGATAGCCGTTTTCGATTAGCCTGAATGCAGGATGCAAGAGGCCAACGAAGAATGGAGACCAAAAGATGGAGACTGACAATTGTAGCAGGTTAGAAAGGCAGAATAGGAGAGGCAGGAGAAGTCATTCTTAAGCTGAGCCTAATGGATTAGACAGGTAATGAAGGAACGGAGAAAGATGACAGCAATGGAAACAAACGAGGAGGTTCTATAAGGTGGGAAACAAAGGAAGCAAAAATGCACGACGAGAGGGAAAGTGTCAATGTAGGCATGGTGGAAGAGTAGGAGGAGGAGGAGGGAAGAGGTGCAATGGCATGCGTGTGGGGCAGCGCAATGGGATGGATGTAATGCAATTTTTTTTGTTGGGGAATGGAGGGCAACTGCAAGAAACACAATGAGGTGCAATGGCATGGAGCAAGGTGCAGCGTCCCAAAATTTGTGGGCCACCACTGATGTTACCTCGAACTAACCCTTAACTTGCCCTGAGGTAACCTTCCTGTATGTTACCTCAAGGTGCTTGTGGGGCTAACGTTCAAAGTCAACACTTGCCCTCGGTGTGCCCCTCCATGTCACCTGCAGATCGCTCTCATTAAAGGCCGCAAACTGAGCCAAGTTCGCGCAACTCCACATGACAAGAAACAATTGGAGTGGACCACGTGTTCGTGAAAATCTAGCCAGTAACCAAGTTGTAACAGATAATATTACCACATATGACGTAGACAATTGTGACCACGAATGTTATTTACTCGTACAATCAGGTCTACTTGAGTCACGTTTATTTTCGATAGCAACACTCTATCATCGTACACTAATAAAATCTGCTTGCGTTGGGATTTTACATAAATAAAAAAAATGTGCAACATTTCTAAAAACATCTTGATTATGTGATCTTATTTAAATCGCACGGTGTGTGCACACTCCCGAATAGTTATCACGTTAGATCTTAGTAGTTGATATAAAATCTCGCTACATGCACTATGATCTCAGCCTCTATTATTTGTAAACACTACTACACACAACACTACTGGATCCCTTTCCAACCCCCTCTAACAACAACGCTTATTCACTTTGGCTGCGTTGTATCGCAGCACAGCTAGTCAGCTTGCTCAACAAGTGGCGCTAGGAAAAGCCTATCATCGGAGATGACGACCAACCCGTGACGTTTGAAAGCCCACGCCCTAAGCCTTGCCTTCCACCATGGGCCATGCTCTGCCGTTCTCTTGATGATGGCGTGCCGGGCTCATGCCTTCAATCGTTGATGGTACCACTGCACCGTGGTACCGTTCTGCGGGCGGCTGCGCTTGAGCGATGTCTTCTTTAGTAGAGGGGTCTCGGTCTGCGATCACATGTACGGGAACACAGTCATACACGTGGTGTTACGGACATCAAAACTATTCAGGACATGGATGTGGTTCGCTTACCCCAAACAGCCACCAGTGGGGGTGAAGCACCGGTCTTGTATGCCACATAAATGCCTTGGTCAAAAGACTTAGACGTAAAGGGTATCTCGGGGGTGTCTTTAGCACAATACCATATCATCAGCTCGTGTGAAAATGGCCCTGTAACGGGGAGTCAGCGTTAAAACATGGGAAACAAACCAATTAACCAACTCCATTTGCTCTTGCGTTTTAACTCATGGGATGCAAACTTCGCCACAAAAGCCTCATCCGTCTTGGGCTCGACGACCGTCGGATCCGGCGCTGCCAGTAGCACGATCCGTGCGGTGGGTGGCTTGGTATACTGCAGCCCGTTCAAATGCTTTCCGTATGCGTGCACAATCAGCCAGAGGTCCGATCGCACCTTATGCATGGAGTGAGTAAAGCGCGCGCTCCTCTCCTTGTCGAGCTCCAGCACGAGATGCAGACCTGACAGTTCCCCCTTCTCTGTAAACTCCATCGCGTGCGCCATCGATCGTTCAACAAGGCCGTCGTTAGGCCAAAACGATGTCTCCGCATCGAGAAGCTCGTGTATAATGTATGCCTGCGCCTTGTCAACCTTATCCTGCGGAAGTGAAGGGAGTTACCAGAACATTTGTCAGTGACCGGCACATATCGGACAAGGTACTTGATGACGGTGTGCGTTTGCATTAAAATACTCACAAAAACGATCAAACAATGACGGGTAATTATGAAAAACAGCGTAAAAATCGCCATCAACCTCTGCCCTTTAACATGCATGCTAGCGTTTGTTGACCTTCGGAACATTGATGTCCGCACCGCATAGAGTTCTCGCCCATCCTTGCATCCCTTCCGTCATTGGCATGTGACATGCGTAGTGCGCTTGAAACTCCGCCTGCATCGCCTCATGCACGAACGGAGAGAACTGAGTAGGGGGATAGATGGCACACGATTGAGGGAAGTTTGATGAGATGTCGGCACCACGTGAACTTTGTTTCCGTGCGTCCCTTGCGTCGGTCGGCCTGTCACGCTTAGGACGTCTGTCGGTGTTGTCGGTGCGATGGTTATCTGTCGTGCCCGTTGGGAGTTTGCCCCTCATCTCCAGGATTTTTAGGTCCTGTGCCCTTACTCGTGCGCGGAGTGACTTGACGAACTCGTGGGTGTACAGCGTACACGAATGACTGATTCGGCTCGGTGGGACCACCGGTGCGTGCCCGCCTGAACGAGCGCTCACTGGTAATCCATCACAATTCATCAAGGAGGCACGCGGGGCAGAGTTAGTCACCGCTGACACCGAGTGGCACTGACGGAGGGACTCTCTATCGCATGGGGGGATTACCAACAAACGATTAATGATGTTCTATGCTATAGTCCGAATGATTAATGACATACACTCCAGTCTGCCTTACCGAATCGTGCGTCGTTCACCTTGGCAATGTACAGAAATTGACACCAAACTTTCATATTCTTCGTCGATGGGGCCTCTGCTATCGACCATTCCCATCCCCCTGGTGTCCTCGTCTAGTCCATTTGCGTCATCTTCTTCTTCTGCTTAGGCAGCCCAAGTTGCATAGCCAGTATCGGTGGAAATTGCGTAACGGTCATTCGCACCTGGCCGTCCAGAGAGCGATTCCTGGATCTCGTGCCTACCAGAGTCTTTAAGGCGAGAGGATGGGTCGTAGTAAACGAATGTCTGATCCCTCCGCGGTTGGTGATTTGAGAGGCGAGATTCGGCGCGAATGCCAAGCGATCGAGGTGAGCTTGCACGATACATTTTGCCTAGACTGCTAGTGTCGAAATCGCCAGGCACGATGAAAGCAAGCGTGATGGGTGGTCATATATTGAGTCTGGCGGAATTGCGCGAGGTGCGCAGTCATCAAGAACGCGAGGTGCAAGAATGCGAGGTGCGGACCGTGGAAACTTTCCATTGATTTCGCCATCACATTTCAGCATGTCCCGCGCTGTACGCAAAAAAGGCAACACAAATTCTGGCTGTAGTACCATCCGAATTCACGCACTGTAACACTATCATGATACAGTGCCGAAGGCAGGTTCCCCTGAATAGAACGGCGCAGGCGTGCGGTGGAGGCTTCGTGCCACGTGCACTTGCGTACAAATCAGAAGCATCTCGAAACCATACCACGACCTACCGTGGTGGCGATGGTTCACGTGTTTTCTCGCCGGAAGTGTTCCTGTTCAGAGACAGACTCGCCAATGCCAAGACGCACCATCACTCTGTCGCAAAACTCGTAATTACATATCAGCTTAACACCACATATGATTTTTTGGGCTATTTCATATCACAGTGGTCTAGAATTAATATGAAAACCATTTACATATCCCCAATTTTAATGTGTAATGTTTATATCTAAAAAAAAAATACGCACTCTTGCCAAACATCTGAGGAGCAAGACAATGGACAATTTTACCCCCTTTGTCGCCTACTGGGTGATCCCATGGGTAAATTAATAGGTTATATCCATCAATGTAGCGCCAAGGCCTCATGCTGTTGCTAGGATGCTCCCACCAAGCATCCGTCAGTCATGCTACATCAGCCAAGCATCAGTCAGTCATGCCATAGAAGTCAAGCATCCATCAGTCATGCCATATAAGCCATTTGTACGAACCGCCTTATACATTACTGCACATTTCTCATGATGCCAGGTCAGAGATGCAAAACGATGAAAAGACTTGTTGACCTGTTGCTAGGTGTTTTGGACTCCTGCTCAGTGGTCAACATTGGAGCCCCAATTATGCTCGTCGGGTGAGTGGCACAAAATTATTCCAGAGCATCATTTGCAGACTCGCTTTCCTTACACCCAAAGCCAACGATTCACCAATTCTTGTTTTAACCTCAAACCACTTATGTAAGCGATGGTGAAACAGGTACACACGTTGCTTGCTCTGCCCTCAACACCCAGTCGTGGCGGTAGGCTACAGTCGCACTATGCACGCGGAATGCCGACGCTACATGGTCATCCCGCTTTCTCCTGGGTGCAATACAAGGCGGCGGACGAGGAGATATGTATCGGACAGCTGTGCCTCCTCCTTACCGCAACTGAAGACGTTGGCTCGTCAAGGATGCAGAAGAGAGCCAATGTTGCAGTTGTCCGCAAAATGATCATCGGGAACCTACATATGGAATCCGGCTGCACGCAAATGTCGTGGGCACTGGAGGAGAGGGGATTTTTGGTGATCCCTATTGGATTGATTGTGCAAACGGTGCATGTCGTTCAATCTTTTGTGGATCCGCACGTGTGGTTCCTGAACAAATGGGCCGACCGGTCTCGCGAGGAGCACACTTAACTTGCATGATGTCGGGACACAAACACTTCATCCTTGTGAGTCGATATGGAGTGTATCTGAAGCTCAAGAAAACACATGATTTCAGACGTGGTGCAGTGACTACCGTGTACCCTCTCCACCTTCCCCTTCATAAAAAACCTCACAGGCACAATTTTCTGCATGTTGCCTGTCATATCGTTCACATGCGCACATTGGTTTTTGCATATGCATAAGTGCTGCATTGTTCGTCTCTCACCCCGCTTCCCCCTAAACCACGTTAACAGGCAACAGCTCTCGGAGGGGGGGACATTTGCTCTCTTATCCGCACCCAGCACAGCAGTAGAGGTAAGATGCGCTAGATGGTGTCCATTAGAGGCAGGCGGAGTGTAAATCTACTGGCACTGTTTCCTGTATACTCTACTTTTTTTTCTTATATCAGATCAGCAGCAGGCAAACACAAAAGCGATGAAGTTGTAATGGGGGTTGCAACTCTCAAACCCATGGTCACACTGACGGGGACACACCCCTGGGACACACGCACCAGACGCTCCCCCTAGAATGGCCAAGTTGATTGAGAGTGTGGGTTTGCTTGTGTGTGAGCTTGACCATGTTGGCCGACTTCCAGATCCATACATCCTATAGGCTTTGGAGCTTATGTCGTATCACCTAGTAAATGGCTGCAGAGAAGTGGAGGGTGTGTGTGTCAGAGAGAGAGAGTGGGCGGGAGAGAGAGTCTGTCACCAAGCCCTCATTTATCAACGTAAAAGATACTGATTACACTGATTTTGAAGCTTGTTTTTTTTTTTTTTTTTTTTTTTTTTTCCCTGAAATTTCAGTACCTTCTTTAGGTTTGCACTGATTTTCCCGTTTAAGTGTAGGGACTACCTTGGCAAATTAGTGTTTAGCTGCACCAGTAACACTGAAGCATGAGTATAGTGTACCGAGTCACACTGATTCAGACTTAACAAAATGTAAGGGGGTAGGTATTAGCATGCCTGCATAAGGGGGCAATTAGTTCGAGTTCCATGCGAAGAGCTCAATTCACACTCACTAACGAAGGGATTCGAACACAGGATCTTACCATTAGCACGCTGAAACCTTAGACAGCTACGCTAGTAGCACTGGTTGCAATATTCATATTGAATTACTGCACTAATGTTTCAGTTAGCCATAAAAATTCACACCGACAAACTCAGCATAAACATAACCCCCAACACTGATTTGGTCACGAATTTGGGCAAGGCACACTGATCCATCAGCATTCCCTGAAACCAATCTTTGGGCCTGTGTGTCACAATGGCTAGCAACACTATTGCCCCAGGTACGTGCACTATCATAGCGCCCCTGCAGTTAAATGCCAACGTTTTCCTAAGACATATGGTCAAGGTTAAACATGTACGAATCTTGTGATGATCCACGGTTGTGCCCCCACAATCTCTCCATCCGCATTTAAAGTGACCCGTCAAATATTTCATTGCCGCGAGTATTTTATCTGGTGTTGAGCCAATCAATTGTCAGTCATCCACATCGTCATGGACTGGGACAGACTCCTTATCGTATCGGTTTCCCAACTGGTATCATTGGCACCTCATAACCCATCCTTCTCCCACCCCTCTCCTCCTCCGACCCCCCCTCATGTTGCCGCACACACATTCAGCTGCATTTACCGATGGTAATGGCGTGGAACAGCCTCTACCGGGCCTGTTTCCTTGAGAAACAAGTCATTCTTCCCACTCCCAAACAACGAACGACGGGACTTCCAAACTCCCCGTACTCCCACAATCCTACTTCCACCACCCAACCCCAAACCCTCCTGGACACAGCGCGAGATGGCCTCATTCCAGGCTGCCTAGTTTAGTTAATCCCCTCTACCCTCATCCCCTCTTCATGCCACTCCCCACCTAGACCGATACTCCTGTAACATCCTCGACTCCTCTTGCGCCATCAACCTGGCCCCTTAGGACGTTCGGTGTGCATCACGAGCTTCCCAAGCCATACGGGCGTTAATAATGCCGTGCCGCAGCAACCCCTTTTGGGCGCCCATCCACGCCACGCAATCACAGCGAGCCTACCAGATGGCCCGGTAACTCACAAACACATGATCACCAAAAGGGAATAGTGGACTCGGTCTACCTTTCAGTATTGCATGCTCGCACTACGACTATCATGTTCATTCATAGTAGACCAGAATGACAGGTGCATGACGATGGTGCAATCTGCATTCATGATACCGAAAATGCTGTTGTATTATTTATAACAGTGCCCGTACACCCAGCTATTAGAGAAGATGATTCGATTTTCAAATGTGTCATATAACGATCATCCATAATAAATGTTACATGACGAGTGATAATTTTATGGGCGAAGTGTGATGTGGAATTTGGTGATACAGGTAATGAAGTATTTACATATGCCTTTCATTGTTTCACAATATCGCAGTGTAATGGGTATTAGAAATCCAGTCTAACAACTGATTGTACCGAAACTAACTACAGCGGACACGGTAACCATGTGACCTAAATCCTTGTTGGCGGTTTTGCATCCCAAAAACGACCATGGTTGGCTTTTCCTACTCAGAGGCAAGTTGGTGGTGAACATCGCCTCCACGTTGTGACTTCAACTCATGTTCGTGATGAGTCTGTGCCAAATTTGTGTAGGTAGCCCCGAGCTAACCTGCGTTGGGTATGAATGCGGTGCAATGCGGTGTACCTGTCCAGCTCAATAGCTTTGCTGGAGGGAGTGAGAGGTTGTTGGCACCGGCCAAGGCCAATAGGAATGCGACACCTGTATGCCTATACAAATAGCACAGAGGAACAGATGAGTGCAACAACCCAACGGTCTTAAACCCATGGTGGCAACATCCCTACTGTGAACATGGGAATGGAAGCCCATGAGCTGCGGATACGTGCATATGCGGTGGCATGGGAGCAGGTGCAAGTGTGGATGGGCGCGTGGGTATATCTTTGAGGCATACATAAATGTATCTCGTGTGCACCGTACATGTGCGGATTGGTGCATAGGTGTATCTTACAGCCAGAGCTCAAGGTGCCAAAGGCGCTAGCGCCCAACGGCGCCAAAGCTCAATGCGCCAAAGGCGCCAGCATGCGCCAGTGCCCAACGGCGCCAGAGCTCAAGGCGCCAAAGGCGCCATGCGCCAGCGCCCAACGGCGCCAGAGCTCAAGGCGCCAAAGGCACCATGCGCCAGCGCCCAACAGCGCCAGAGCTCAAGGCGCCAAAGGCGCCAGTAAACATTGCACCAGTGCCCAGGCGCCAGAGCTCAAGGCGCCAAAGGCGCCAGCAAACATTACGCCAGTGCCCAACGGCGCCAGAGCTCAAACGCCAAAGGCGCCAGAAAACATTGCGCCAGCGCCCACGCGCTAGAGCTCAATGCGCGAAGGCGCCAATGCTATGGCACAATAGAAACGCTACATCGAATTAGTTGCTATAGATTCTGGTTACACGCCCTTCTCCTTTCCCCTCAATTTCGCAGGCTCTTATAGGGTTGGTGGCAAGGAGCGAGGGTGCGGGGGTGGTTGGGCGGGTGGCGGTGATGGGCGATGGCAGGACGCGACGAGGCTCACCAAGGGCAATTGGACGCAGCGCCACTTGCGCAGCAACGGCTCCATTTGTGACTTCTTCCCCATCACTCACGCTGCTATTAGCAGCCGAAGGTGACCATCGATATCTACTTTGGTGAGAAAGCATGCCCTTTACCCAATATAGCAGTACATGTTTTTTCCTAGTCGCTTGTATTAAGCCTTCTGAACCTAACATTATACATACTCGTTCTTCTTCCTCCCCCCCCCCCCCCCCCCCCCCCCCCCCCCCCCCCCCCCCCCTTTCCACAACATTTTGCATTCTGACTTGTGTGCAGCATTTGCTATGCTTATCTGGTGAACGAAGAGTATGAGCATTTTCGGTGTGGTGTGGAAGTAACAGTTAGTGCAGCACTTTGGTATAAACTGTCGTTTACATGTTAATGCTTTTTCGGCTGCATTTATATGCGTTTGGGGTATATGAACTCTCTATGTTTGCTGCTGGTGTGTCACAGATGGTGTTCAAGGTGCAAGATCTATAGCTTTTTGTTACTTACCATGCCTCATCGCTATGTAGTGCGAAGATGTGCATATTATGTGTATAATATACAGCTGTAGATTCGCTGCATTTGCTTGTATAATACACTTGGATATATTGAATTTTCTCATCCCTTCTTTCTAACTGCTGGATTATTGTATAATATAATTATTTAAAATACGAATACAAACTACACGCAGTATAGCACGTACAGTGTAGTATTCATTATTGCATGTAGTGGATCACTCTATTGCGGTTGGCGACTCGGATGAACAGTAACGACCTGCGCGTCACCTTTGGGTTCGCTGCGAGGTGAGGTTGGGGTCAGGATGGAGTGACCCAAACTTCACGTACCCTTGGACCCTCGCTAAACCTGGGCGCGTGACCCTACAGGTCAATTTTGGGTTAGGTTGGGGTGAGACGTTTTTACAGATGTTGCATCTATCCGTAGAGTAGGAAATTTATGAAAGATTTTCATTACCTGAAAGATTCTCGATGTATTTCTGTGGCTGAATAGCATCAATGTAGTCTTGTCACTAATAGTTACAAGATAGTAATAGCTGAGAATGGTGTTGTGAATCTGAAGGTACTACTGCGAACTAGCGAGAGAGGGGGAGACGACGACGGGGGCTCGAAGGGAGAGACTAGGAGGGGTTCGAATCAAGGGAAGGGAAGAGATGCGCTTCGGGAATCAATCTCGCTTACTGTTTTCGATGTCGAAGAGCACATGTGTTCATTGTTTTTCTTTTTTTTTTCCGAACTGCAACTTTTTTTTTTCCGAACTGCAGCTTTAAGGCAACATGTGTGAACTTTTAATGTTCACATTCTTAAGCATGACGGGCAAACGCTAAAGAACATTTGTGTTGGAATGGCAACTTCCAGAATTTGTGTTGTCTCACCAACTCAGCGAAAAAAATTGGTCACGTCAAAGACCACATCATCAAGACAGCGATGACATCAAGACAGAATTGACACAACTCCAGTTACGAATGAGTCATGTCTAAAACTGCTCAGTACTAGTGTGGTCCCCAATGAAGCGATGTGGTCCCCAATAATTTTATCTCACTAGTACAGCAATTGGATTTAACACTGTAAGCATACAAATAGAATGTTTCCAAATAGATTGTATCAATAACTCAAACTTTAGCATATGATGAACGAATTATCATAGATAAGATACAAATACATCCTAAACAACAAGCAAAACATATATGAATCATGTTTCACATACTTAATCGAGTACTCTTGTAAAAGTTACACGATATTTGTTGGGTGCAAAACACGGTTTGCACGACAACCTACCGCCTATTCGCCGATGTTGAAGGAAAGTGAGGTGTTGCATTTGAAGGTGATTTTTGCTGTGTGGGGTGCGCATGCGTGTGCTTTACGTTTGAGCGTTTACGGCTCGTGAATCGCCTCAACGGTCCATGAGTTATGTGTGTTCTGGTAAAGGTTGAGTTTGTGAGTCTTCGTGAGTTTCTGTATTGAAGGCGAGTGTTCGTGTCATTTCGTAAGTTCCGAGATTTTGTGTGCGTTCGTGTTATTTCATGTGTTCTGTGAGTCACGGGTGTTCGTGAAAGTGTCGTGAATGTTCATGAGTCTGTTCGTGAAAAGTTCGTGTGACTTCGTGTGAGTTCGCGAGTTTTCTAGTGAGTTTGAAAGTTGCGTTCTTATTTGTTTGAAGTGAAATAGTTTGTAACAAGTGGTATCAGAGCTGGTTATAAGGATTGCCGTTAGAACATCATGGAGTCGAGCGGAACTGAAGGTTCTCTTGCACGTGCTAATAGTGGAAGCCATGAAACTGGAGGCTCAGCGCCAAGGGGAGCGCGGACCAGCCAGTGCCCACTATTGAGGGAGGTGCTCAAGAACTTCAGCGTAGACAAGTTCAACGGCAATGGGTACGACGATTGGGCGTGGAAAATGCAGCTGTACTTTCGACAAGTGGGCTTGTTGAAGCTGATGACGGGTGTGGAGAAGAGGCCGGACGACCGGAACCTGCAAGAGGAGTGGGACGAGCGTGCAACGGCCGGCTACTATCTTCTCTCACAAAGCTTGGAGCTGAACCAGCGGTCACACGTGATGCACCTGCTGGAAGAAGCTGATTGTGGGCCACGAGCTCGGAAGGTGCTAAAGGAGTTACACGCGCCAACCTCGGTGGTTGCAACGCTCATGCTGGAGCGTGAGTTGGCGGCATTGCGCCTGAGCGAGGGGGAGCCGATTCAGCCCATCCTCGACAAAATGCGGGAGCTGTACGCAAAGCTGCAGATCGCGGGCATCACTTACCCGGAGCAAACAAAGTGCCTACGGATGCTTTCATTGCTGCCCGAGTCTTGGCTGCAGTTTACTAGCGGGCTTAGCCTACCTCAAAACGAGAAGTTGTGGACCCTTGAATGGGTGCGAACCAAGATATTGGAGGAAGACTTTAGGAGGAGGCAGCTGAGTCACGACCATGATGGAGACGGCAGCTATGCGGCACAAGGCAGCAGATGGCGAAAGGGAAATGGCCGGGGACATGGTGAACATGGACAGCATGGAAGCGGACGTGTCGACAAGAAGCCGAGCAGTAAGAGTGATGATGAAGAGGAGGATGATTGTGATAACTATCCTAGGTTCAGGGGTACTTGTTGGTACTGCAAGAAGCCGGGTCACACTTGGGCGAAATGCTGGAAGCGGCCTAAGGGGTGGACTCCCGGGAATGAGGTTAATGATAGCGAGGAGAATCAACACTGTGGGGTTGGTTATGTAGCAGAGACAGCAAGAAAAGGGGAAGACAGTTTGGAGCGGGCTCCTGGACAATTCTTCCATGTGCAAGGGAACGGGGGGAGTGAGAACGCATCTGCCAAGGAGGGAGCAGATCCTCATCCCCTCAACACGTGGATCCTAGATTCCGGAGCCGCATATCACATGACCCCGAGGGCGAACATGCTAGACAAGATTGTTGTGACAAGCATCACTGAGATGAATTCAGGGTGTGGGCACAAGATGAGAGTGATGGGCGTCGGCAAGGCAGCCTTCAAAGGAGCTGATGGGAAGTCGGTCGTTCTAGAAGATGTGCTCTTGGTGCCGGAGCTGAAAGGGAACTTGATTTCCCTAAGGAAGATGGGGCTTGCAGGCGTGTGTACAGCGTCTAATGGAGCTGAAACCTTCAAGGGGCAGCTCGGTGATCGTGTGCTGTGGGACCTACACGAGGACAAGGACCTGCGTGACGAGTTGTGGCATGTGTCGGTGGTGCCATGGAATGAGGTGGCATCTGAGAAGGAGAAGGGGACTTGCAGCTGCGGAGGAGAGTGTGTGGCAGTAGCTGCTGAAACGATAAAGGAGCTGCAAGTGACAGTGGAGATGCTGGTACAGGAGTTGAAGCACGTGAATGCTCGGCTTGCAGCGGCTGAAAAGCAAGAGGCAGCAAGTGCTCATGAGAAGGTTGGTGCTGGAATCAGGGGGAGTGAAAGTAAGGCTGCTACTGTGTTGAAGCAGAACGGAGTGCACATGAGTGGCACTCGTGAGCAGCAGAAATTAGAAGCTAAGATGCAGCTGAAGGATGTAGCTGCTAAGGAGAAACCGTTGGTGCTTAATGTGACAAGCACTGAATCTGGTGCAACTAAGGTGATTGGAGAACCCGATGTGAAGCTGAGCAAGAAGGAAGCTGAAACCACTTCGGATGGTGGCAACAACATTCAGGTGAAGCTGCAAATGGTTGCAGCAGATGATGTGGAAGCTGAATTTGTGGGGGAGCAGAAAAGTGTCTTTCTCAAAACTGGACATGAGATCAGCAATTCGGTGAAGTCGGTCAACAGGGAGAACCCTGAGTCAGGTGGAAAGGGGGAGCAGCTGGGCAAGAATGTTGAGTACCCGATGCCAATGACGGAAGCCGTGAAGGGAGTCGTCGAACCCAATGATCGCGGGAAAGGATTTGAATAGTCGGCAGGTTGAGGGGGAGTTTGTTGAGTGCAAAACACGGTTTGCACGACAACCTACCGCCTATTCGCCGATGTTGAAGGAAAGTGAGGTGTTGCATTTGAAGGTGATTTTTGCTGTGTGGGGTGCGCATGCGTGTGCTTTACGTTTGAGCGTTTACGGCTCATGAATCGCCTCAACGGTTCATGAGTTATGTGTGTTCTGGTAAAGGTTGAGTTTGTGAGTCTTCGTAAGTTTCTGTATTGAAGGCGAGTGTTCGTGTCATTTCGTAAGTTCCGAGATTTCGTGTGCGTTCGTGTTATTTCATGTGTTTTTGTGAGTCACGGGTGTTCGTGAAAGTGTCGTGAATGTTCATGAGTCTGTTCGTGAAAAGTTCGTGTGACTTCGTGTGAGTTCGCGAGTTTTCTAGTGACTTTGAAAGTTGCGTTCTTATTTGTTTGAAGTGAAATAGTTTGTAACAATATTTGCATTGATAAGTTTGTGTGACAAAACAATCATTCTTAACGTGTTTTTAAGAAATGGTTACAATCGCAACTAACCCCTCGACGGTATGAACCGTCAAAAGCAAAATGAGTACATGACCTTATATCCAAGCTTCATTTCTAGTTTAATAAATAGGGATGACTTGAGTATTACTGGTTGAAATAAATACAAAGATGACGCAAATTGATTAATCACATGGACTTAGCTTTCTACGCAACCATTCCGACGATATCGTCGAGTCTTGTCTACGGTTGCGTTGGTTTGATATGAGTAATACTGGTGTGGCTGGTAATACGCAAATTTTGCAAGGCTGCCCCAAAAAGATAGCGAAAGGGGTTTGACTAGGAGTTTTGGAGGTTCGGAGGGAGACTAGCTAGCAAATGTCAAGACGACAGGCTAGGCGCGAGGACCTCGCCTCACGAAGCTACCTCGGCTTCCCTTTCGAACTTCACGAAACCAAACGTGTGCCGAACCTCAAAATCCGAGGACCTCGCCTAATAAACGAGCCCCGCTAAGATTGATATGACTTCATTCGTATAAATATCTTGTAATTCAATATCTTGTATACATGTTTCACATTTTTCACTCACTCTTCTTTTACAGCTCATAACACTGCCTTATCAGTTGCATTCCTTACACTTGCCTGGTAATCGGCTACATTGACGTCTTCGACAGAAGAGATAATGCTAGAGTATCAAGTGCCTCTGCAGTGAGTCCAAAGTAACCCATGTGTCATCCTCTCTGGTGCAGTCGTGTCAAACTACATGTATGCATGATTGCTATATTGAGGTACACAATAGGGAGTGTAACACTTTTAGGGCCGTGCTCCCCCTGCTAGTCACAACCATTCCGCTACCTATTTTGAGACTGTATTATCTGTCAAATATCTTAGACTGTAGTGAGGTGTGTTATATGGGGTACAACCTTTAGGGTCGGGCATATGTACCCCAACCAACTCTAATGCGACACACTTTTCCCACTCTGAGATGGTATCAGATAGGTTCGTACCCTAGGACCCTAGTACCGCCACGTCCCGTGTTCCGTCCCGTATCGCCTAATCTGCGCGCCCTTCGCCCGTCGTTCCGTTACCTACCGCCCTGCCCTTCCCCCCCCCCCCCCCCCCCCCCCCCCCTTTGTCGTCCCCAATGCGCGCACCTGCCGCGCTGCCCGTTGCGCCTGTCCCATCCCGTCACGCCCGTAGCGCACACTGCGCCTGCAGTGCCCTGCCGTTCGCGTCGCGCCCGTAGCGTCCGCCCGTCCCGTCCTGCCGTGCCCGTTGCGCCTGCCCGTCCCGTCGCGCCCGTAGCGCCTGCTCGTCCCGTCCCGTCGCGCCCGTAGTGCCTGCCCGCGCATCGCGCCCGTAGCGCCCGCCCGTCCCGTCCCGCCGCGCCCACTGCGCCTGCCCATCACGTCCCGTTGCGCCCGTAGTGCCCGTAGCACTCGTAGTGTCCGTAGCGCCCGCAGCGCCCCGCAGTTTGCGCCTGCGCCTGCCGTCCGTGCGCCGCCTGCCCGTCGTCAACCCGCCGTCCGCGCCCACGCCCTGCGCCTGCTATGTCGCACCCACCGCCCTGCGCCCTGCGTCCTGCCCGTCACGTCTCGCCCTCTTCTCGCTGCGCGCAGCCTCCCTCCGCCCTGTTCAGACTCTCTTAGCGGCTAGTCAGCTATGGCGGCCCCCTGAGTTCTTTGTTTCGATGTTGAGGGTAGACCGCTAGATTTCCCCATCTGGCTCCTTCGCGCTCAGCGTCAGCTAGAGAGCCAGTGTTAGGCTGACGAGATCCTCTGGGCATACACTTCCGGCGAACACCCTGCGCCCCCCACCACAGCTGCACTAGGCGCTGACGCCACTGACGAAGACAAGGAGCATTTTAAATGGGAGCGAGCTGACCTTACTGCTTGGAATTCACGCGACGCAGCGGCCTGCATCGCCCTTAACAGCCTTCTTCCTGAGTCTGAGGAGGCGCACTTCGCTCAAGTTCGCTCTGCTAGCGAGTTCCTGACTGCGATTAAGGCCCGCTACTCCACTCCCACCACAGTCTCACTTGGTCGCCTGTTCCTCCCATTCCTGTTTCATGACATCGCTTCCTTTGAGCACTCTGCTGACTTGATCACCCACCTGCGTTCGCTAGACTCCAGCTATCGTGCTGCCTGAACCGACGCCCAGCTCCCACTGCTCCCCCCCCCCCCCCCCCTATGGCGATCACTATTTACTTTATCGTTCCAGCCTCCCTGGCTGCCTTGCCTCTGTTCGCGACACGCTTCTCTTGAAGCACCCTAGCGAGCTCACGATCAGCGTCCTTGAGTCTACGCTGAAGGACGTTGAGAGCAACCTCCGCTTGGTAGCTTCCGCCTCGGCCGCTGTGCCCCCTCCACTATTTCAGGGGTGCGCTGTCTTGCAGCTGCCCACCTTTACTGCCTCCCTAGCCTCTACTGCGGCCGCCGAGACCGCGGCCGCTGCCGCAACCTCTACCAGGTCTAGGGGCAAGGGGTTCAAGAGGGGTGGCAAGGGGGCCACCAATGGCGGAGGCCGCGGAGGCGGCGGAGGTGGGGCGGCCAGTGGTGGTCAAGGGAGCGGAGGAGCTGGTGACAAGCCTAGCGTCCCCACCAGTGACACACCTACTGTGGCTAGTGGGGGTGACACTCGGGGTAGTCGGGGACCTGCAGGGCTACCGGCTGGAGGTTCGGGCGTGGCAACCAGTTACCTGGCTCAGCGGCAGCAATAGCAGCATGGACAGCAGCCGCAGCGTTAGCAACAGCCGCAGAGCTTGCAGCAGCAGCAGCAGGTGCAGCAGCAGCGCACAGGTTAGCGTCAGCCATCGCGTGGCGCCCCCTACCCGCCCTGCCCGTACGTCGCTCAGACCGGTACCCGCAGCGGCTACCGTTACGACTGGTTTCACCCGCCGGGTCAGTGTTTTGCCCAGCTTACTGACCGTGTTCGTGCGGAGTACGGCGCAGGCGGCCCTGCCCTTGACAAGTTCCTTCTTGTTCAGTTGCACGGTCCCGCGCTGTGGGACATGTCTGCGTCTCGGTAGCTTCATGTGTTAGGATCTGTGCATGCTATGTATGCTGATGTTGACAATAGTGCCCCTAGATCTGTTTGCTCACGTGTTCATAGCTTAGGTGCTAGTGCTAATCCCGTGCCTGTTGCTAATGTAGGTACTTGTTAGGTGCTAGTCCAGGAGCCACTTCGACGGACGCGTTGCAGTCTTCCACGCTGGACTCTGATGCGTCGAAGTGTTTCTTCCGCGACCACACGACTCTTACTCTTCTTCCTGCACCGGTCTCTATATCCCACTTCGGGACCGGTCATTGCTCGCCACTCTACTACTCTCCCGTGTCCGGCTGCTCCCTTAGGCTTCCTGATTGGCCACCTTTCGCCAGGAGCCGGGCTCTGGCCTTTACACGCTCCACACTGACCCCCGTCAGGTCTCTGCGTCTCGCCAGGTTGCTGCGTCTCATTTGGCCCCGGCGTCCAGTCAGGTTGCTGCGTCGTGCTCGTGTCGGTCGCTTGCCCACCCCACTGTCCTGTGGCACCACCGTCTTGGTCACCTGTCCCTTCCCCATCTCCGCACTATGTCCAGTCAGCGTCTTGTCCTAGGCCTTCTGCGAGTCTTGCCGCCGCTGCCGCCTTCACCTGCACCACTGTGCGGCCCTTGTATTAAGGGTCGGCTGTGTGCCACCCCTCACTCCTCTTCCCTTTGTCCGACCACCGCCCTCTTCGAGACTCTCCACTTGGACGTCTGGGGCCCCGCCTCTCGCCCTGGCCCTGAGCGAGAGAGTTTCTTTCTGGTGGTCATCGACGACTTCTCTCGCTACACCACGTGACCTCTACGCCTTCTACTAGAGCTGGGGAGTCTGGGGCTCACCGCGTTGCCACAGGAGTTGGTAAGGCTGTTCCTGGAGGTGCTACGCCTAGGGGTGCGGGTGTGCCTTCTTCTAGAGATGGAGAGACTGGCGCTGGTCGCGTTGCTGCTGTGGGTGCTAGTTTTGGGGGTGGTGTGACTGGTGCTGTGGAGGGCAGTGCTGAGGCTACTACGTCCCCAAACACCACTCCTCCCCCCCACCCCTACCCGACCCGGCACCAGGCTCTTCTTCGACTTGGGCGTGAGGAGCAGCGGAGGATGGAGCGTGAGAGGCTGGAGTTGGAGAAGTAGCAACAAGAGCCCCAGCACCAGGAGCAGCAGCAGCAGCAGCAGCAGCAGCATTAGCAGCAGCAGCAGCAGCAGCAGCAGCAGCAGCAGCAGCAGCAGCAGCAGCAGCAGCAGCAGCAGCAGCAGCAGCAGCAGCAGCAGCAGCAGCAGCAGCAGCAGCAGCAGCAGCAGCAGCAGCAGCAGCAGCAACAGCAGCAGCAGCAGCAGCAGCAGCAGCAGTAGCAACAGTAGCAACAGCCGGAGCAGCATCTGCAGCAGCCACAGCTGGAACCCCCTTCGACCCCTGTCACTGGCCTTCAGGCCCTTGGTCTTCCCTCTTCTCCTCCTGTGTCCTCCTCCTCTCCTCCTGTGTACAGTCCTACGTTTCCTCTTCCTGACTCCGTCCCGGCTGTGTTCCTTCGTCCTCAGTTTCAGTCATCCCTTTATCCTCTTCCTCACACTTGGGTTCCTCACTCTCCTCATGCTCATCCCTTGTCCCCCGCCACTATCCTTCCTACTGTTCTGTCTCGTCCTAGTCCCCCTCTTCCTTCTCAGTCTTTGCTTCTTTCCCCTGCTGAGTCGTCCCTCACTGCTTCCTCCTCTACTCCTGTCACTGGCTAATACCGCACGTACCGTCCTGTTCTCTCTCGCCTCCCTTGTTACGATTTCTCGTGCCTCTCGGTCCTCTGTCTCGGCTCTTATTGTCGCAATCACCGACTTCGCCGCTGCTCGCCGCTTGACTATGCCACTCGTGTAGTGGCTGCTCCTCCTACTCGTCCTCCGTCCGTCAAGGGTGAGTCTACCCTTGGCTGTAACGTCTTAGAGGACAGGCAGTTCGAGCTAGAGTTCCTGGCAGCCGCTTCGCCTCATCTCTGTGCCATGCTCCTCGCCCCTGAGGGAGACCCTGACGCCCTTGACATACCGACTCCTCGCACTTATGCTGAGGCAGTGTCAGGGCCTTGGGCCTCTTAGTGGAGAGCTGCCATGGACGCAAAGATGGCCTCCTATAGATCCACAGGCGCCTACGTTGACGAGGTTCCCCTCTAGGGGCGAACGTAGTCGATGGCATGTGGATCTTCAAGGTAAAGCAGCCACCGGGATCTCCTTCTGTCTTCAAGGCATGCTACGTGGCTAGAGATTACAGTCAACGCGAGGGAGTCGACTTCTTTCAGACCTTCGCGCCTACCCCGAAGATGACCACTCTTCGGGTGTTACTTCACGTAGCAGCGCAGAGAGACTACGAGCTACACTCTCTCGACTTCTCCACTGCCTTCCTTCAGGGTAGCCTGCACGAGGAAATCTGGCTGCGTCGCCCTTTTGGCTTCACTGGCACCTTCCTGCCTGGGACCCAGTGGAGGCTGAGACGACCAGTCTACGGTCTCCGCCAGGCACCCGTAAGTGGCACGTCACTCTTCACTCTACACTTTCTGACGTGGGTTTGAGCCGTCTACTGCCAACCTGTCGCTGTTTGTTCGTTGTGGGCCCACACCCTTCTTTGTTCTAGTGTAAATCGACGACCTAGTCTTCAGCGATTCGGGTTTCAATTCTCCACAGCAAATCCCACACCTCTTGCTGTAGACCACAGACTCACTGGCCCCTTACCTGATGAGCCTTTTGAGCCCAGTGGTCCCTACGCAGAGCTGGTGGGCTGCCTCATGTACCTGATGACTTGTACTCGCGTAGACCTCACCTTCCCTCTCAGCATCCCTGCTCGCTTTGTTGTGCCAGGGAGACACCGTCCTGTTCATTGGACATCTATTGTGAGGGTGGCGAAGACCTAGTGACGACATCATGCGTCGGACTGGTGCTTGAAGGCACATAGCCGGTTGTACTCATCGGTTACTGTGACTCCTCCTTCTCTGACGACGTCGAAACTCAGAGGCCCACGCAGGGGTACTGTTTCAGCCTAGGCTCTGGCGCTGTGTCGTAAAGGTCTACTTGGTCCTCCTCGGTTGCTACTTTTACCGCTGAGGCCAAGATCTACGCTGGAGCCATGGCTGCACAGGAGCTGCGTTGGTTGACCTATTTGCTCACCGACCTTGGTGAGCGGCCGAGCTCTGCACCGACCTTGTTTACTGACAACAAGGCGATGATTCTCCTGTGTCGAGAGCCTCGTCTAGAGAGCCGAGTGAAGCATATTGACGTCAGGTACTTTCTCCTTCAAGAGTTGCAGAAACACGGGCGGGCGCGTTTGGACTTCGTGGCCTCCGAGGCCAACACTGCAGACATCTTCACCAAGGCCCTTCTACCTCGTGACCACCACAGGTTTTGTGTGCAGTTAGGCATCGTTGAGACGTGTACCCATTTGCTGTAGTTGAGTGCTCCTGTCTTGCTGTGCTTGTACTATATATATACTTTTGAACTCTTGAACTGGCCTTGTGGCCGCTTGCTTGTGCTCAGACTGTGTGGTGATGTCGTGATCCACCCTGAGCTTTGCTTGTTTCTGACTAGTCTTGTGAACTTAGGTGTTTGTTGTTGTTTGGCACCCCTCACTTAGTCTATGGGGGTGTGTCAAATATCTTTGACTGTAGTGGGGTGTGTTATATGGGGCACAACCTTTAGGGCTAGGCATGTGTATCCCAAATAACTCCAATGCCACACATTTTTCCCACTCTGAGATTATCCAATTAGCTCCCAGGCGTCCCCCATCCTAGATAATTACTGCTCCTAGCGCTTCCGCTGGCCCGACCGTCCATTTCTGTCGTTTTCCCCTAGCCTGCTAGCCACCATTCGCCAGCCAGTTGGCCCTATTTTATCAGGAAATTTCATCCTGATTTTGCAGATTTCAGGATTCTGCTCAGGTGCCAACACTGAAGAATCAGGTACAGTTAGAATACAGGACTGACGTTTCAGCAATATGTTGTATGATCACACTATAAAATTAGAATTGTAATGTACCTACAACACTACATGCTGTCTCTGGCCTAGAGACAAGCAGCTAGCGCATGCGCGCGCACGCTATAGGTGGGGTCGGCAGCCCGCAAGTTAGAAGTGCACTTCACGCACTGCCATATCGAATTAGTTCTAGTCCGGGTGTTCCTTCTTTGTCCTACACTGGGTTAGGTTTTGCCTATATTTCCTTGTATTTCAATTATTCCAGTCATTCTTACATTTGCACATGTTGCGCTTACGGAGCCGCAGGCGGAGTTTACCAAGCTGCCTACCTCGCGCAGACGGACCTTCTCCCACCGGCTGAGGCCACCCACTTCACCCAGATCGAGTATGAGAAGGAGTTTTATGATGCATTTGTTGCTCATTATTTCACTCTCTCCTCTGCCTCCCTCAGCCGCCTCCTCATGCCTGCAGACCCGGAGATAGGAGGCGCAGGCCATGGAGGTAGGGCGGGAGCATAGCAGCAGCAGCAATAGTCACAGCGGCAGCAGCCATAGCAAGTACAGCCGTAGCATCACGTACAGCCACAGCAGCAACTGCAGCGACAGGTGCAGACCCAGTAGCAGTTCCAGCAGTGAGGATCTCTACACCAATCATGGCCTCTACAATAGTAGGGACCTTTGCAATAATGGGGACCTACTGGTCTGAGGTGCGCTGGCCACAGCAGCGGCCCTACCAGATGGGAGCCCCGTCATGCTGGCCGCGACATTGGCCCCTGAGACTAATGGATCCTGACAGGTCCAGGTAGAGACGCTTACTATGGGTGCCTTGACCAATCTCCGGTGCGCTGCTTCAGGCGTCTCGACAACCTCTATCGTTGGCAACACGACCTTGAGGCAGTTCCCTTGCGCTGGCAAGCTCTAGTTGCTTGTGGCATTAAGATGCTGACTATAGTGTTGTTTACTCGCGTGTTCCTAGACTAGGATCCTTGCCTAATGCTAGTGTAGGTGCTCGTGTTTCAAGTGTAGGTGCTTGTGTAGTTACTAGCCTAAGTGTGCTTATGGCTGAAGCATTGCTATCCTTCACACTTGACTCCGGTGTGTCTCGGTGATTTTTCCCTGACTGCACCACTGTCACACCACATCCTGCACCATTCTCGATTGCCCTGGGTGATCCTACCTCAGGAATAGCTGTCGCACGCAACTCTAACACCCTCTTATGCCATGCTGTCCCCTCTGGCTCCCTCACTAGTCTTTACTTTTTGTCGTTCTCCAGGAACTTGGTGGGTGTTGGACACCTTCTGGATCGTGGGGTCACAGTCACCTTTCCTGCACACGGGAGGTTTGTGACTTTACGGGCGCTACTACCAGGTCACATCTTGCCACCTTTCCCTAGGAGCCAAGCTCAGGTCTCTTCAGACAGCACACTATGCCCCCCCAGGTAGCTGCGTTGGGTCAAGTTGCTGCGACGTGCTCTTGTCGGTCAATCACCCACCCGTAAGTTGTGTGACAGCATTGTCTCGGTCACCTGTCACTCCCGCGTCTCTGTCACATGTCTAGTCACGGTCTTATCTCAAGTCTCCTATCCCTGCTTCCTTCGCTCTCTCCTTCGCCTGCGCCACCTTGCACTCATTGCGTCGAGGGTAGGCTGCGCACCACCCCTCACTCCTCTTCCCATATGCTAGCCATCGCACCCCTCCAGACCTTACACTTTGACGTCTGGGTCGAAGGTGGGGGGGGTAGGGGGTGGGGGGGAGCGCTTCTTCCTGGTGGTGGTTGACGACTTCTCGTGCTACACCACGGTGTTCCCTATGTGACAGAAGTCCGAAATGACTGCTGCCCTGATCTCGTGATTGCTGGCCACTAGTGCCAAGCATCGCCTCCCTGTCCTTAGTCTCCACTCTGACCGTTGGGGTGGGTTTCGCTTTGCCATGCTTGCTGGGTTCTGCCACGAGCAGGGCATTACCCAGTCCCGAACGCTTTCGAACTCACCGTAGCAGAATGGGGTTGTTGAGCGCCACATAGACTTGGTCATGGAGATTGCCCGCACCTCCATGATCCATGCCCGTGCGCCCCATTTTCTGTGGCCCTACAAGGAATGCTACGCCACAATCCAGCTGAACCTCTGGCCGCATGTCTCTCGCTCGGAGGTGTCACCGACCTGTCTCTTGACTAAGTCCCATGATGTCGCGTTGAACTAACTGGGGCTGCCTTGCGCATCTCCACGATCCCAGTGCGAACAAGCTCTCCGCTCACACCCTCGCCTGTGTCTTCCTTGATTTCGCGGTCGACGCCCCTGTCATTGTCATTTACCACCCACCTCTCCACCGGTTCTTTGATTCCGTGACGCCACCTTTGACGAGTTCGTGCCCTTCTACGTCTGCTCTCCACATTGAGATCTCCTAGTTCCGCTCCCTCCCCTCTTCCTTGTCCCCACTCCTACTCTTGCTCCTCCGGTACGCCCACCCCACCCTGTACCTGCCCCGTCAACTGTGTCTCATGCTACCCCTCCTCCCTCGGTAGCACGTCAGGCGTCCTCTCCCTCACCATAGCCCCCTACATAGTCT